CGTACAAGTATTTAAAAGTATGGGGTTGTACTGCTTATGTAAAGCAGTTAGTGGGAGGTAAGTTGGATATGAGATCCATCTTATGTAAATTTGTGGGGTATCCAAAAGAGTAAATTGGATACTATTTCTATGACCCCTCTGAACAAAAGGTGTTTGTTTCGAGGAATGCTGTTTTCTTAGAGGAAGAGTTTCTCTCAAAGAATAGTGGAGTCATAGAACTTAATGAAGAACCACAAGAAATTTCACAAAATACCACAAATAATATACCAGTAGAGACTGGACCATCTGTAACACCTCTTCGGAGATCTGAAAGGATTTCTAGGGCGCCTGAGAGGCTATACCTATTGTTAGAGAACAATGAAGAGGGACTCCTTTTGGATAATGATCCAATAAGCTATGATGAGGCAATGTCGGACATTGACTCAAATAAATGGCAAGAAGCTATGCAATCTGAGATAGATTCCATGTATTCAAACAAAGTATGGACTTTGGTTGAACCACCACAGGGTATAGTACCCATAGGTTGTAAATGGGTTTACAAACGAAAACGTGGTGGAGATGGAGAAGTAAATACTTTTAAAGCAAGACTGGTTGTTAAATGTTATACTCAAAAACAAGGAATTGATTATGAGGAAACTTTTTCACCAGTAGCAATGCTTAAATCTATTCGGATATTGCTAGCCATAGTTGCGTATTATGACTACGAGATATGGCAAATGGATGTGAAAACTGCATTTCATAATGGAAACATTAAGGAATACATTTATATGAAACAACCGCAGGGTTTCATATCCAGTGGGAGCGACAAATGGTTTGTAAGCTTCAAAGGTCCATTTATGGACTTAAACAAGCTTCGAGGAGTTGGAACATTCGGTTTGATGAAACGATCAAAACGTTTGACTTTCATCAGAATCCAGATGAACCATGTGTTTATAAGAAGGTTAGTGGGAATGCAGTTGCTTTTGTTGTTCTCTATGTTGATGACATTCTACTCATTGGGAATCATGTAGGGATGTTACAGTTAACTAGGACATGGTTGTCTAAACAGTTTTCCATGAAAGACTTGGGAGAAGCATCTTTTATCCTAGGGATAAAAATCTATAGAGATAGATTTAAAAGGATGATCGGACTATCCCAGTCAACGTACATAAATAAGGTGCTAAAACGGTTTAGCATCGAAGAATCCAAACGTGGATATATTCCAATGAGTCATGGGGTTTTTATTTCTAAGATGATGTCTCCAATGACACCTGAAGAAAGAGAACGGATGAGTCATATACCTTATGCATCAGCTATTGGTAGCATTATGTATGCGATGTTATGTACAAGACATGATGTTGCTCATGCACTAAGTGTAACGAGCAGATATCAGTCTAATCCAGGTGAAAACACTAGAAAGCCGTTAAGAATATTCTTAAGTACTTACGAAGGACTAAAGATATCTTTATGGTATACGGCAATGGAGAATTGAAACTAGAAGGCTTTACTGATTCTGGTTTTCAGTCCGATAAAGACGACTTTAAATCCATGTCTGGGTACTTATTTACTCTGAATGGAGCAGCAGTTAGTTGGAAAAAGTTCCAAACAAGAAACAATAGCTGACTCTACTACAGAGGCTGAATATATTGCTGCATCCGATGCTGCAAAAGAAGCTGTTTGGATAAGGAACTTCATCCAAGGGTTGGGTGTAGTACCATCCGTTGTTAATCCAATAACGATTTATTGTGATAACAATGGGGCTATTGCGCAAGCAAAGGAGCCAAGATCTCATCAAAGATCCAAGCACATTATGAAAACGATACCATTTGATTAGAGAAATCATTGGTAGAGTGACGTCGTTGTGGAACGAGTCGACTCGGCAGAAAATATAGTAGATCCCTTAACTAAGCCCGTATCACAGAAAGTGTTCAAAGGACATCTTGAGA